CGGGCGGGGTACACGGCACTGGTACACCGGGGGTACCGGGGGCACGGGGGGCACCGGGGTCCTGACCTGACCGGGCACATGGCCCTGGCACCGGGGTCCGCACTGGGTACGCGGCCCTGGCCCGGGGGTCCCGGGGTCTTTGGGGTCGGTCCTGCCCGGGGGCACGGCCCTGGCGCGGGGGTCCCGGGGGTGGCGGGCAGCGCTGAGGCAGCGCCGTGCCCGCAGCACTACGCCAGCCGGAACGGGCACCTGGGCGTGTGCCGGCTGCTGCTGGAGCGCGGCGCCCCGTGCGACGCCCGCACCCCCGGCGGAGCCACCCCGCTGCACCGCGCCTGCTACTGCGGGCACCGCGCCGTCACCGAGCTGCTGCTGGCGCACGGAGCCGACCCCGCCGCCGCCGACGGCGACGGCAAGACCGGCCTGCACAAGGTGGGCACCGCGGAGAGCCCAGAGTGGGCGGGGGGCACGGGGGATGGCAAAGTGGGGGGCACGGGAGGGTCCCCGTGCCAGGTGAGGGCACGGTGGGGGAACCCAATTCCCAAAGTGGAGGGGGCACAGGGCATCCCCTGCCCGAATTTGAGGGGGCACAGAGGGGTCCTCTGCCCAAATGAGAGGGGGCACCCCCTGCCCAGAGCGGGTGGGGGGCACGGGGGGACCCCAATGCCAGGTGGGGGCACCCCGTGCTCAAATCGGGTGGGGGGCACGGGGCTCCTCCTCCCGCAGGGTGCCCGTGGGTGGCTCTCGGGTGCCCGTGGGTGGCTCTCCGGTGCCCGTGCCCCCCGGCGGTGACACCGGTGCCCCCCAGGCCGCCGAGCAGGGGCACCGCGAGCTCTGTGCCCTCCTCCTGCGCCAGCGCCCGGCCCTCGCTGCGCTCCGCGATGCCAGGGGCCGCAGCCCGCGGGACGGGGCGCACCCGGCCGTGCGGGACCTGCTGGACACCTGAGGGGACACGGAGGCGACAGCCGCGCCCGGGCACTGTCGCGCTCCCGGTGCCCGGCCCGGTACCGCCGCTGCTACTTCCGTGTCCCGCCCCACGCCCCGCGCTCTCAACCAATCACCGCCCGTCTTTCCCCGTAGCCCCGCCTCCCCTCCCTACAGCCAATCACCACGCGCGGTGCATTTAGGGGGCGGGGTTTCGCGGTGTAAACAGCCCCCGCGGGTGGGGGGGATTTAAAGGCGCCGCGACCTTTTTAACCGGGCCCCTCCCCCGGTAACCGGGACCCCTGCGCGGCACCGAGCACACCCAGGTACAGATATAGAATTTTTATTAACCCTTCTGACAAAAAAAAAAAA